GTGTCTTCTCAAAGTTTGGAATTATAGAATAAAGACATCTTGGACGTCTTATAATAACTAAATAGTAAAAAATGGTTACATAATAATTATTTAAAAAAACAAGAATCATATAATTACTAATCCCTTGTGAGGGTTTTTTTTCTTTCAAGTGAATGCATGTTTAGATTTTTATTAGATTGGTAGCTTGCCTGATGCAGCGAAGGCAGAAAAAGATTTAATAAAAAAAAAAGATTTAGAAGATGATTAGATTTTTAAATAAATAAAAGAAACTTGATAATTATATCTAATTTTGATTAATTTAATAATGTGATAAGATAATGAAGTAATAACAACAACAATTAAATAAAAAAAATTTCATAGGCAAAATTGAGCTACCACGTGAATCTCATTACCTAAATATAAGATGTGTTCACGTGAAATGTCTATCAAACATTTCATATTATAAGATTAGAATAATTCTATAAAAAAATAAATTGATAATAAATAAAAACAAAAATTAAAAAATAAATATAGATAAACTGAGAATTATCCTCGATTGATTACTCATCAATGGTTGAATATCTTGTTGTTCAGTTCCAACCTCTTTCCATTAGAGCAAGTTTTTGTGTTAAAACTGTATATATTTTTATTTTTATACACTTAAAATAAATGTCTTCTCAAAGTTTGGAGTTATACAATAAATACATCATTATACAATAAATACATCTTGGGTATCTTATAATAACTAAATATTAAAAATAGATTATTTAATATTTATTTTAAAAAAAGAATCATAGAGTTATTAATCCTTTATGAGGGTTTTTTTTTTTAAGTGAATGCATGTTTAAACTTTTACTACATTGGTCGCTCTCGTGATACAATGGATTGGACCAAAAAATATTTAACAAAAAATATTTAAGAGACAACCATGTTTTTAAATAAGTAAGAGAAATTCGATAACCAGGTTAAATCTTGATTAATTTAATGATACGATAAGAAAATGAGGTAATAACAACAACAATTAAATAAAACAAAATTGCCCTAAGCAAAGTTGGGCTACCATGTGAAACTCGTGACTTGAACATGAGATATGTTTATGTGACATGTTTATCAAGTGTCTCATGTTATGAGGTGGAGATAATTTAATAGAAAAAGAAATTAATGATAAATAAAAGCAAAATTAGAAAAATTAAAAGACAAGTATAGATCAAGATATTTAATATCGAAACACAACTCATTTATCTGATTATGCTTAATAAATTTTTTTATTAAAAATAATTTGTAATAGAAATTAACACACACATAAATTTATTGAACAAAATAAAAGGAAAAAAATAATATACAAGGCTACACATGTTAAAAATATTATAAAAAATAAAAAAAATGAATTTTTTAAAATGAATTTAACCTATATAAAAAAATTACATATAAATCATGCTAACCTTTTCAAAACTAAATACACCAAATATAATTAAAAAATAATCATTATTTAAAAAGGGCTAAATAAACCCAAAAAAATTACATATAAAGGGTATTAATTAAAATTTAAACTTAAAAAGATTAAAGAGGTATAAAATTTAAACTTAAAAAGATTAAAGAGATATTAATTAAAAAAAATAAAATAAAAAAATAAAGTCAGACACTATTAGGCCTGATAAGTTAGATTAAGCACCTAGCCCATAAAAAAATGATCCATGTAGGAGCCTTTAATTTTTTTAAGTAAATAGTGTGGACAAAATGTAATATGCCCTATTTCTTTTTTTTTTTTAAAAAGACAATGTATCGTTTGAATTACCTAGATTCAGTGGATGGAAAATAAGATTCATGTTTTTTTTTCATTTCAAAATTTATTTTCAACCTATTTTTGACCTAAAACACCTAGCAAAATACCTTATGAACTTTGTTAAATCAATTTATGGCATCCAAAAATGCAAAAAAAAAAAAGCCTTAAAATCTAAAATCAACCTAAAACCAAAAGTCTTTCCAAACTCAGATATGTATTTTTAAGGTAAAAAAAAATACACACCAGATTTAAGCTCCTCTCATCATATGAAGTGTAAAAATAAAATATTTTGAGGTGGAATTATCATTAATAGTAATTTTCTCTCTTTACACCATAAACCAGTAAGTTCTCCTCTTTTCTCCCATTAAAAATGGATTGGAATGTGCCTAATCAATCTTTGTCACTCTTGTTCTATTTGTTGCAACTTCCTCTTTTCTCTCTCAAATTTTCAATGATTGAAACGTGAAAAAATAAAAATGAATATAAAGTTCATAAACTTCAAAGACTAACTAAAAAATACATAAACTGAAACTTGATGAATCATAGTAAAGTTTTCCACTCCTTTTCAACATTGAGCTACTTTTTTTTTATTCATTTTTCTTTTAAATTTTTGTAACTATAATTTAAAATAGTTATTAAACCTAAATCGATTTAATGAACTGATCTGGTGAACTGTTGACTTATAGTTTGATTCAGGTCAAGTTTTCTTTCAAACTATTTTGAAAGTTCAAGTGGTTAATTTGACCAAATCTAGGTGAGATGCAATAAGGTCAATTTAAAAAAAAATAGTTTTTGTCCAAAATATATTGTTTAAGATTTTTTTAATTAAAGTGATATCCTTGTGTCATAAATTTGGGTTAATGTTCCAATTCATGAGTTAACTCATTAAACTCACAACCCAAACTTTGAGTTAGATTAGACCTTGGATCAAATCTAATAATTATAATTAAAAAAAAACTAAATTAACAAAACTACTAAAACCCATGGACAAAATATTATAGAAATGCCTTGATTCATTATGTCCTTCCAAAAAGACTAAATTATCTATCAAGGATGATATAGTCTTTTCACATGATTCATTGATCATCATGGAATCATTGATTATCATGGAATTGATTAGGGACAGCTTAGGCTTTTCATAGTTTTTAATAGTATGATTACTTAATTGTCTTTAAAAGCAAATGATTATTTAACTTGAGTCTAAAGATTTTTTGTTAATTCACTTTTCACAACATAATTAAAATGATTGTATTGCTTTTTAAATCAAAATTTCTTTAGCTTGCCTCTAGGAGCTTATTCGTATTTTCATATTGCTTTTTTGTGTGATAATCATATGGTTTCAAAGACAATGCGGTATTTTAATATATATAGGCTAGCAAGTGTATTGCACATGCCAATAAATAAAGCACCCCGCCATGTTCAAACAGCACATACAATAGTCAAAAATAACTTTCCTAGGTGTTTTTTGAATCAACACAATAGGGTCTACCTTTTGAGACAGCACAACAAGTGCTGCATAATTCTTTTTAGGTGGGAGTTTGCTGGCTTTTTTCTCTACTATCCTTGATTTTTTAGTCTCCCAAAACTTCATAACTAGGTGGGAGTTTGCTGGCTTTTTTCTCTCTCTACTATCCTTGAATTTTTAGTCTCCCAACACTTCATAACAACCCTTCAATTTGTTTTTCATTCGAATTTGGTTCTTGTTACTTCAATTGATATTTTTTTATTTGAATTAATTTATAGAATTGAGATTTATATTTAATCCCATCCTTCTTCAATTTTTTATTTGTCAAATTTGGTTCTTATTCTTTTGATTGTTATTTATTGTATTTGATATTATTTTTTAAATTTATTTTTTATTATGTTTTATTTGAATTAATTTATAGAATTGAGATTTATATTTAATCCCATCCTCCTTCAATTTTTTATTTGTCAAATTTGGTTCTTATTCTTTTGATTGTTATTTATTTTATTTGATATCATTTTTTAAATTGATTTTTTATTACGATTACATCCTCCTTTGTTTTTTTATTGCTATTTTTTTAACTTAGGAAATTTTTTTAAATTTTTGATTGTTATTTATTTTATTTGATATCATTTTTTAAATTGATTTTTTATTACGATTACATCCTCCTTTGTTTTTTTATTGCTATTTTTTTAACTTAGGAAATTTTTTTAAATTGATATTTTTTTCTAATTTCATTCTTAAATACTAAGTTGAGCTTTATATTGAATCCAGATCTAGAATTTAACAAGATGTGAATTTAAAAGATTAACTCAAGTGTAGAAAATTCACCTGAGTTTTTTTTCTTTCTTAAGCTCATGTTTTTTTAGCTCTATTTTTTAGCATTTAATTTAATTGAAGATTGATTCTTTTATTTTTTTTATTTTTTTATTTTATTTTTATAAGATTTTAAAAATAACTCAGGTTATCTAATGTTTTTTTATTTAACATTTTTCATTAAATTTAGATTTTTTTTAAAAAATCTGGTTTTGAGTTAAATTAAATCAATTTCTTAAATATAAGCATGATATGCTTACTTCTTGATTTTCTGTTTGGTTTGTTTTTAAAGTCGTTGCTTTAGCAACGTGTATATCCTTTTTCGGTGTCGTTATTTAGCATTTTGCATATTAAAACTGTCTCGGTAAGTTTTCTAGATGGTGGGCTAATGTCCACAATAGAGCGACAGTAAGTTTCTAAAAAGTTTTTTCTCAAGTATGATATTGACAAATTTTTTAATAGTTAATTATTAATAATTTTTTGTTTAATTATTAATTAACTAGGCTTATTAAATCCTGTTCGAGGAGCACAACACTCATCTAGGTTTAGTCAATTCAATTTTTTTAGGATTTTTAATTTAATGTTTTTTTTAAAAGTCAACCTTTAGTTAATTAGAATTAGACTATTTATTATATTTTAATGTTTTTTTTTAATTTAATGCTTTTTTTTAGAATTAGACTATTTATTATATTTTAAGTTAGGTTCTATAAAATTATTATGCTTTGTATAGCAGGTTTTATGAATTAATTATAATTAACATAAATTGAACCGTCATATCATCATTGTAATATATTTTTTAAAAAATATATTTTTTAATATATCAGTCTCAAAATTTTAGAAATACCTTTTCCAATACACATTAAATTTTTTAATTCCTAACTTTTTTATACTTAAAAAAAAAACTCCCAGTAAGAATACAGTGATTACTGTATTCAAATAAAAGTTCATTAGTAAAAGCAACGCCTTTACTCTCTTTGCCATCTGCCGCCATAGAAATACACGCTGACAGTACTAGAAGAAAAAACCCCTCCTGCTCTGCCTTGTGCCTGGTTGCTGACCTTCCATCCATCCCCTCAAAACGTAAGGAAAGCCTAAACCTAACAGCATCACAAACAGTATCGATGGCCGATTTCTATACTGTCTTCATAGACACCACTCTCGACACTCACCTCGCCTTCATTGTCTCCGCTTCCGACACTGTCTCCGACCTCAAGAGTATGTTTTCCCCCTTTTTAACAAAATATAATGTAACGATTACCAATCCTAACCACTCAATTAAAAGGATTATATCATAGAAAATTATATATTTTTTTTATTTACCATGCGCGACTGCTAGATTTATTTATCTTAATGGTTTTATATTCGGTTTGCCATGTTCTATGTTGTTCGACATGTTTATGATGTCTCTGTCAATCTGCAGAGAAAATACTTCATGAACACAAGCTCTGTTTTCCGACCAACGGGGACATTAAAATTCATGCCTTGAAGGTATTAACATTTTTTTTTCCTGTGTGTCTCTGTGTCATAATGCTGTTGATTAATGTTTGTTTCTTCAAATCTCCAGGTAAAACGTCGAGGGGTCTTTTACCATCTATCTGAATCCATGTTTGTAAAGAGTGCCTTTGATGGCACCGGTAAAAATTGGTTTGTTAGTGTTGATGCTTCTACTATAGAGGAGAATATTGACAACCTAGCAGCTCAGGTTGGTACCACAAACAATGGTTCAACTGACGAGGTTAACCTTCTCCCTAATAGCCATCCAAAAAGCTTGTCCAATGTTGTTGATTTATCCCTGCAGCTAGATGAGAGCAGTCGGCTTGCAAAACAGAAGGCTTCTGTTGCTGAACAGCTAGGTTTGGATTTTGCTGGAAACGAAGAATTAAATAATTCAAGCATAGTTGCATATAAAGGTGATTGTTACCGCAAGGTTATGTCATTGGCTGATGACAAAAATGGTTCAGATCCTCCTATATTGGAGAAATATGATGAACCTGGCAAGGAAAAGGAAGTACAAGCAACACCAACTGGAAGTGTGGGAGGGGGTTCTGGGGATGGGATTGGTGATATGCAAGGCAGTGCACCATCAGATGGAGCTCTCACAACAGGATCTGGTGCGAAGAAAAAGAATAAAAGGAAGAGGAAAAGTAAGGATATTACAGATGACCTTGCTGGAAAAGAAAAGGAGGCTTCAGTATGTCAGTCTGGTGAAAATGAATCACAACAAGAGAGTGCTGCGAATAAAAGGCGTAAAATTGAGGAGGAAAACAGGGGTGATGGATCTGTCAAGGAGAATGAAATTGTCCTTTCTGATTCTATTAAAGAGATATCCAAGCACCCTACAATCTCCCAGCACCATTTAGTAAACAATCAGAAAAATGCACACGCTGCTTTACACTGTTTATCTTCTGAAACTTTGGATGATCTCAGTTTGCCAGCAGCCTCTCAAGGCAGTGGGAAGGGGAAAAAGAAAAAGAAATCTGTAAATCCTGCTAATCTAGAAACTGCTGTTGTTCCTTCATCCACCGATGGAGAGACCATGGAAGTTAACCCCAAGGATTTTTGCAAAGAGCCCGATACAGTACCTGTTCCTGTCCAGGGAGTAACAATTTCTGAGTCTTGCGCTGTCTCTGTGAAGGAAAAACACACAGATCCTGTCCAAGAAGATGGGAGACCCTCTTCACAAGGTGAGTCTGTGGATTGTGCAAATTTATATGTTCTTGCTTATTTTAATGTTTATTTCCTGTTTCATCCATTGGGAAAAAATGTAGAGAGATGAAGAGACATTGCTGATATTCAAGGTGATCTTTTGTAGGGGTTGATATGAGTGACACAGAGACTACCAATGCAAAAAGTATACAGGATGCCCCTGAACTAGCTGCTGCATCCACTGCCAAAAAAAGAAGTCCAAAGAATACCATCCTTGACGATAGTCAGAAACCTGCAACTGATCAGGTTGGTGGTCTTGAAGAGGAAAGAGAGGCATTGCACCCCGGATCTATGCTACATGAGAAGTGCAAACCATCTGACATGAGATCTAAAGAAGCAGCTAATACTTCTGAATTGGTTGAAGCTGGTGAAACTGTATATCCTGGGACACATTCAAAGAAGAGAAAGAAATCTAAGAGGACAAGGGCTTTGTTGAGCACAACACTAACACTAGGTACCGAAAATGTTAAAAGCTCCACAACTGCTGACGCTGCTTCAATTGAGCCTCATAAAGACGTGAATGGTGATGATTCCAATTATAAAGGTAATCAAGAGGATAGCAATTTGGCAGAAAAGGAAATGGAAGAAGTATCAGAAATGGATAAAGATGTGGCTGTCACTTATCAATTGGCTGAGGCTAGTGAAGCTGTGAATCCTGGGACACCATCAAAGAAAAAAAAGAGGTCTAAAAGAACGAGGGATTTGTTAAGCAGAATACCAGGATCAGGTACAGAAAATGCAAATAGCTCTGCAGCTCCTGCCACTAGTTCAAACGACCACCATAAAGCTGCAAGTGGAGATGATTCCAAAGATAAAGTTAATCAAGAGGAAAGCAATTTGCATGCAAAGGAAGGGAAAGAAGTAGTGGAAATGGATAAAGTTGTTGTCGCTTCTGAATTGGTTGAGGCTAGTGAAACTGTGAATCCCGGGACACCATCAAAGAAAAGAAAGAAGTCCAAAAGGACAACAGATTTGTTAATCAGAACACCAGCATCAGGTACAGAACATGTTAATATCTCTGCAGCTGCTGACGCTGCTTCAACTGAGCCTCATGAAGCTGTGAATGGGAATGATTCCAATGATAAAGTTAATCAGGAGGAAATCAATCTGCTGGCAAAGGAAGAGAAAGAGGTATCGGAAGTGGATAAAGAAGTACTGGTCACTTCTGAATTAGTTGAGGCTAGCGAAGCTGTGAATTGTGGGACACCATCAAAGAAAAGAAAGAAGTCCAAACGGACAACAGATTTATTAATCAGAACACCAGAATCAGGTACAGAACATGTTAATATCTCTGCAGCTGCTGGCGCTGCTTCAACTGAGCCTCATGAAGCTGTGAATGGGAATGATTCCAATGATAAAGTTAATCAGGAGGAAATCAATCTGCTGGCAAAGGAAGAGAAAGAGGTATCGGAAGTGGATAAAGAAGTACTGGTCACTTCTGAATTAGTTGAGGCTAGCGAAGCTGTGAATTGTGGGACACCATCAAAGAAAAGAAAGAAGTCCAAACGGACAAGGGATTTATTAAACGGAACACCAACATCAGGTACAGAACCTAATAGTTCTGTGGCTGACACTTCTCCTACTGAGCCTCATAATTCAGTGAATGGGGATGATTCCAATGATAATGGAAATAAAGAGGAAAACAGTATGGCTGCAAAGAAAAGGAAAGTGGTGTTAGAAATGGATGTAGCAAGTACTTTTCGTCTAGCTACGGATACAGAAATTGATGATGTGATTGAGAATGTAGTCAAATCTGCTGTCAATGGTTGTCCATCTAAAATTGATCATTCTGACAAAGCTGGTCATGGTATGGAAGTTTCCTGTGGAAGCGATCAGATCAACTTCAACGAGTACTTTGTGCCTAACCAAGACCATAGCAAAACTGCTGATTCTGGTGAGGTGCTTGTTGACAAAGCAACAAAAGCAAAACAAGTTGGTGGTATGAATTCTAACAAGAAGAAAAAGAAGCTAGATGCACTTTCTCGTGTTCCATCATTTGATTTACATGGTTCATCAAGGTTAAATGTGAATGATGGAATTGGAGAAAAGCCTCCAGCTGGCGGGGTTAAAGTTTCACCATCTAGCAAGTCTGATAAGATCAGTTCCACTCCTGCAGAAGCTAGAAAATCTGGTGCTTTGGGGCTCGTTGTCACCAATACGTTTGCAAAGAACAACAAAGAACCCTCTGCTGTATCATATTCTAGCTTGGAAAGTTCTAGAAAAACAAGGGCTAGAGGGCATGGCTCAGATAAACAACACAATCAAACGAATGGTAGAGAAGTTTCCCCTGCTAATGTTGAGGGTGTTGTAAATAGTTCACAACGTAAAAAGAGCTTGATAGGAAAATCGGGCACAATATTCCAGGATGATAATTATGAGCATTCTGCAGAGGAGAGCACTGATAGTTCAGATTCCAGCACTAGAACTCCAGATAATTCATTGTCTTCTGACTACTCAGACGGAGAAAGCAATTCAGATTTTAACTCATCTCAAAATGGTAATCTACTAATCTTGCATGAGTTTTGTTGATTTATTGATTTGTTAGTGCCTATCATGGTCGATTGCATCATGAGCTTTTGGCTGGTAAGTTCTGTTACAGCAGCCATTCAGTTTAAAATTTAAACTAACAGACCCATGTTGGATAAGGACATTTGATGCAGAACAGCTTTGAGATTTCTGTCCTACTAGGGTTTTATGGTGGATTATGAATTTACTACCTTAACTTCGAGAAGAAAGGGTTTACGACTTTGTAAATTGAAATTGGAGATAGATTTAAGAGGCTTTGTTTGCTGAAACTTGAAAGTAGAACTGGTAGTCGTAGTAGGTTTTCCAGGAGTCGCTTCTAGGAAGAGAGAGCTAGGCATTACACCCAGGGATCTTATGAGTGGCACCTAAGATAGATTTCATCACATAATCACAAAGCATATAGCTGGAACATTTATTCAAAAACTCTGATTCTTTCTTGAATAATTACACACCTTTAAATAGATTATAGAGTTCTCCAAGTCCATCAAGGAGTTGATCATTTAGATTCTTTTGTAAGAAAATCCAACTTTTCCTAACCTAGGCCTACTTAGTTGAGGACTCATACGACACTAAACATAAAATAAAAGTCAAGAAATGCCCTTGTCTACGAAAAATCACACACAAAAATAAAATAATTCTGCTCCTCTCGTCTGAATTAACAACTGTTATTTTGGACAAAGGAACAACACTTGAGCATTTTGAAGCAGTGGAAAAATCTAAGAAAAATTTGGAAATAAGCAGTCCTTTACATGGACAGGGCAGGGTGAATGACATTATTGTTCTCTTTAAAGATGAATGAACGAGGCATATGAATTCTGAGGTGCCATTTCATAAATTTATGGGTGAATTACTAAAAAAACCCTAGGTTATCATGAAATTATAAACACCATCCAAAAGTTTGAAGATGTATTACAAACCCCCATTTGTACCTTAAATGCCCTGAATTACTCTTTTAAGAACATATAAATTTAAAAAAATTAACATGACAAGATTAAACCATGAACAGTAAAAATAATGAACATGATTAATTTTTTATTTTGTCAATTTTGGTTAGATTTTTTTTATATTCTTTATCTAATTGTTTCAAGTATTTAATTTAACTATTTTTGTTTTTGAAATAGTAAATAAGGTCATTTCAGGTATAAAAATAGCTTCTTGAACATAAATGGAGTTCTTCTCAAATCTTCCAACTTTTGGTCAGTTTTTGTAATTTATTAATTTCATGATATGTTGGGAGGTTTATTGTAATTCACCCAAAATTTATTTATCTTTCTTAGTCACTGAGGTTACCAAATTGACCCACCACTTTAAAAGGCGCTCCTGTTCATGTCTTTGAAAGCTGGTGGCCTCTGAGAGATTGTTTAATCATACTTGCCAATCTTCCTTGAGAGCTAAGATGAAAATTCAACATGAATTTAGTGATAAATTCTTGTGCTTCTAAACATGTATTCTCAAAAGTCATTCTGCAAATTCCACCTTTGTGGACCATCCTGTATTTTTGCTGCTCCCAGTGTATCTGTTTGGTTCTTCACTCGCTGCTGATTTCCTTTGTGTTAAAAGTTTATGCTAGTTAATAGATGTCTGATCTCCTCAAACACAGCATTGATGCACAGACATCTTTAAACTGATATCTGGAACTTGTCTTGTCATCCTCGTGAAATTTGCTGCAGGATATTATTGCTTGAAAAGCAAGGAAGGTGTTAGAAAGAACATCAAAAAACCACTGTAAGTAGAGAAAAGTAAAACAAATTCTATCCCTGGTTGTATCTAGCTGCATATTTCTGGTATCAATCATTTGTTCTGGTGCGTTTTCCTAACTTATGGAGCAAGGGCCTATGATGATATGCATATTTCTTTAAAGAAAACCTTCAAATTTTAAAACCCCGCGCACACTTTGCATTTTGCAACGAAGTTCAGTTCTATATTTATCTTTGTTTCCACATGCTCAGTATCTCTGAAGCTTTTTTTTTTCTTCTTGTAACAGTTCAGGCCTGACCTTGGAGAAAATCCTTAGAAGTTCAAGCAGATATAAAAAGGCCAAGCTAACAGCTTCCCAGTCGCAGCTCGAGGACACTGAAAATGAGGCTGTTGATTTTGTTCCAGACAGCCTAGCAAACCCTTGATCACCCTATTGTCTTCTTTTGTCTGTATTCCTACTGGGATTTTTGTTGTTTTCTATGACTTGGCCTGCGGGAACCTCAATTTTGTTCTGAATTTTTTCTCGTTCTCCTTTCGTTTTTGGTAAAAAAGCAAGGCATTGGGCCATGTAATCTGTCTGGTCTTGTTTTCTCTCCCTTATGGCTGTGGAAGGACATCGAAAGAAAAAATTGAGGTCTTGATGCTTTTTTTCATTGAAATCGGGGATTCCAACCTTGTCCTTCACGCTCATTGACTCGAATGGTTTCAACTTAAGATTCGAAGATTGATAGTCTGTTGGTTTCACCATTATTCCTTTCCTTTTCGCCAAAATCTTTTGCCAGGCGTCTTTCCTTGGATCTATTGACTGTTCAATGAACTACATTTAGAGGAATACAAGAAAAAAAAAAACAGATGCGGTCAATCTCTTAAAGACTGGATGAAGCTTTCAAAAAGCTAACTTCCCCTTGACTGGTGCCGGGGATTTACTTTGTCGTGCACTTGGCTAGCGGGTTTTTGGAGGGAGTTGAAGGACAAATTTGTGCGAGCAAGCATAGCAATAGACAAATTGAGTCTCTGGCAGGGGAATCATAAAGCAACCAATTAAGCATCATGCATGCATGCTCTCCCCATTTTTGCATGGCCCGGTACAAGATTCTGACTATTGGGCATATATATATATTTATAGATCTTCAGACAATATGCTAGTCGACGAGAGAGTGTATTATGGTGCGAGTCTCCTTTTGTCTGCTAAAGAGTAACCCCAAAAAGCTTTGTCCTGGATATCCCTAAGCATTTTCCTTGGTTCATGGGTATCCCTAGGCATTTTCCTTCGTTTCACTTGACCAAACCGTTTGTGATTTGGGTTCCTATGATAATAAAAATATTTTTTATTTAAAAATATATCAAAATGATAACATACTAACTATTAATATGTTATTGACAAGCCTTGAATAGGATTAAAAAAAATCATTGGAAATTCCGAGAACATATTTGATGGGCATGATGATAAATAACACGTACGATGTCAAGTTCAACTAATCCAAACCCATAGGTAAAAAATAATGGAGCCAGTTAAGTGGGTCATGCATGAATATACAGGAACAACGATAAAAATAAATTAACAGGCAGGATTCTAGAAAAATAACAAAAAAAGATGGGCCAGCTGAAATTAAAACTTGTATAAAGAAATTAAGAAATAATGATTGATAATAATTCATTCAAAGAAGACAAATCGGGGAGGTAGGTAGGGGATCATCGGGATCCTCGGATCATCTCCTGATCTTGTTTTTCGTTCTTCCTAAACACCACTTCTGTATCCAACCCAAACCCATCAACTTTCCGGACATGAACAACCTTAGAATTCGTAAACAAATTCACCAACGGTTTAACACTGTACAAATCATTAGCCGAGTACTTATCGGCCCTTCTAGAAAGCGCCACGTGTAAGACACATATCCCGCCAGGCTTCAGCGTCCGTTCGATCTCTCCAACGAACTTGTCCGGAAACAGAGCGTGATCGAACACGTTTGAGAACTCAAAGTCAAATGTCCCATCATCGAACGGCTGGCGATGGAAATCACCCTCTACAACGAGGGGTGGATACGGCACCAGGTCCATACCAACGGAGTCCGATACGCCGATGCGTCGTAAGGCCTCGACCTCTTGCCCTACACGGGCACCGATACACAAGGCCTTGGATTCGTTGAAGAGAAGGTTTTCTTGTTTCAAAACTTGGAAGAAGTCAGCAAAGACTTGGATTTTGCGGTCCCAATCACGGGTTGTCCATATTTTTCTCAGTTTTGGATTGAGGGTCTTGTTTAGCTGACGTTGTATGTAGGTTTTGTACGTGGTGTACCCGGGTCGGATCTTGAGGTCAGAGTAGGGGTTTCCGGGTGGTGTGTAGGTGTTGGTTTTGAAGCAGAAGAAGAAGAAAAGGAGGGGGAGGATGAGGGAGATAACCAAGTATACGAGCATGGGTGGCTTTGGTTTCATGTTCTGCATGTGTTCTCTTGTTAGCTCTGTATTCTCTCTAAAAAAGAAAACCCCTCCGTACACCTTTCTTTAATTCCTTCGCGTCTGCATGAAATAAGGAGGGAGGGAAACAAGAAGGATGGAAGCCGGAAAGGAGAGAGAAATAAAAAGAAGGGTTTCTCTACCTTTTCCGGTGTTGTGTTTTTATACTTATTCTGGCTTGCTAGGGATATTGATGGCGAAGGAGGAGAGACAAATGGTGGGTTAGTGCGCATGCACGCACGCTCGCTTCAAAGTGGTGGCTGATTATCTGCTGCCATTTTTATGTGCAATGATAACGATTATTTATCGGTTATGGGGGAGTTGTTATCATCATATATCTTGCTAGGGAATTAACGGGACGATGCTTAAAGTATATATATATATATATATTTTTCTTAATTTAAACGGGTTGTTATCATCATATATCTTGCTAGGGAATTAAGTATATATATATATATATATATATATATATATATATATTGCTTAATTTGAACGGCTTCTAGCCAAGTGCTAAATCCATCGCCGTCCAGGATCTCGATTAGTTAATCTAAACAATGTTGATTTTTTATGGAATATTGATCATCGTTTACTTAATCCATATAATTACTTACAAATTAAAAACCCCATATATATATATATATATATTAATTGCTTACACTATTTTTATAGAATATTGTTTTGTGAATTCACTTTTCACAAAGATCTAATACATTAAATAAGTGGATTAAGAATATTATCATAAATATCTAATGGTTGATTTATTTATTTCTTAATGACGATCACAAAAAACACTCTTCATCTTCATCAAGTGATCAAGTTGGTATAAAATTAAGCCATGCTATGAGGAATCATCTCAAGATCTCATCATTTTTTTATGGACTTACCGTGAGCACCAAACCTCAATATGTATTATTTCCACACTTCAACATTAAAAAAAATATCTCCCAACTTGTATAAAGAAAGTATACATGCACATATATCTCCAAAACGACGAGCACTACAATAGTGTTTATCTAGTTTAATGTTATCTGTCCTTACTCTCTTCTTCTTCTTTTTCAAACTTTATCTTTACCTTTTTATACACATTTATTTATTTACATAAGTTTTCTGCAATTTAAAAATTTTAAACATCTGATAGTGTTTAAGAAAAATGAAAAAAAATAACACTTAATTCACCCAATTATTAACAAAAAAAATTATATTTTAATTATTTTAGCTTGCGATTTCCCGAAAAAATCCTACAAATCCCAAGTTTATTATAGTACATGATGTGACAAGTATCTCCTTTTAAAATATATTTAAAAATAAAAAGCATTATAAAGCTATTTAAAAAAAGTTATGTCAATTTTTCAAATTCATGACCTGAATTATTATATCCGAAATATCTAATTAGAAAAATAATAAAGTTTAATTCTCAATCAATTAAATATTGAAAGATGAAATTTAAAAAAATTAATTATACAATTTTTTTAAATAGTAATTAGAAGAATAAGGATCAAAATCAAAATACAAAATAAATTTTATATTTAATTCAATGGTAAAATTAAAAAAATAATTTAGTAAAAGCATATTTTTTTTAAAAAAAAGAGCGATGATAAAAATTAACATATAAAATAAAAACAATGATGTAATTAAAGGGTGAAATTAAAAAGAATAATAAAATTTTACAAAAAAACCAAGAAAAAAATAAAAATCAAAACAATGATGATTAAATTAAAAAATACAATATCATTAATTTGAATTGAATGATGAAATTAAAAACGACTAAAACTTCTATAAAAAGATCAAGAAAAAAACTAGAGACTCAAAGAATGAGGACCACATTAGAGAATATAATATTTGATAAATTTAGATTGAATGATAAAATTAAAAACAAATAAAACATCCATAAAAGGGCAAAATCTAAAATTAAAAATCAAAAGAATAAAAATTGAAGTTGAAATATCAACAACCAAGAGGGCCAAACTATAATTTTTGAAGGAGGAGTGAGAGAAAAAAGAAAAAAAAACATTTACTAACGCTACACTAAATCATCACCGATGACACACACTATACTAATATGAAGAGGACACAATGACACTTCTAATGACACAATGAAAAGGTGTTTTTGGATGAGGAGAGATGTCGCACACCCCACATGAAACATACAGACACCTCTTACATGTTTCGAAATGCGTCCATCCCTGTTTTAGTTAAATACAGAATTTTTCCTAAGCTAATTGTATAATTATAAAAAACAATTATTGTGATAAATTGAAAATTCCCTTTGATTTTTTACTTTAAATGTATTTTTGTTGTTTCATTATGTATTTTAATTATTTATTATTTTTTATATTTAGATAAGTATCAAATTGCCCCTCAGCTTAAATTATAATAAAAAAAAACCATTGTAGAAATACAAAAAAAAAAAAAACCCTTAATGTCATGTTTAAATTTTTTGCTTCAAAGAGTATTCTAGTCATTTTATAATACAATTAAGATAGAAAAATATTTATTTTTCTGTGTTTTATTTGAAAATGACAAACAAACTATATAAAAAAATATCAATACTCTTAGAAACTAATGTTAAGTTTTTTTTAATGGAATAACAAAAAAAGTCATTATACTATTTCAGTAAACAATATTTATGAATGTGCATCTACAATGATTTTTGAAGTCCCAATTAGCTCTTTTTAATTAAAGTATAACACTTTTTTTTTATTAGAGTGTAAGAACTTCTTGATTAATAATAATAATTTATTGATTTTGTTATATTGATTTCCCCCTATTTTTAAGGTTTTATGATAAAAAAAAAGTATATTTAAAGTTTGGATGATATCTTTTATATTTTTATATTAAAAGATAATTAAAAATTGATTTTTTTTTAGCTGAATTCATTTTCATCAATTTAATTTTATACTAAAAAAATACACATTAGACTAACGAATCCACATTCGACAAATCCTATATTATATGTAATTAGCTATTAATAAATATTTGATTGACCCTAGAATAGAGAATGAGGAGGGGGGGGGGGGGGGGGC